TTTGGCTATTGCTACAAATATACCCCATCGACTTCAGACTGCTTTTGTGCTCCACGGTCACAAATATGATGATTTGCTGCTCAAGAAACATTTATTATCATCGTCAATGTTTAAAATGATTCTGCTGCTACATATTTTTGTTGAAATGTATATATAATCTTTTTTGTATGTTTGACCCCATTTGTAATGCCTGTTCAAAAATGTATGATGTTAACGCAATATCTTTTAAATAATCAATAGCGTTTTTAGTTATTCTTGAGTGGTAGCAAAGCTAGCAGACTCACTGGCTATAGCTACTGATGGTAGGCTATACTAAGCTACAAAGCTAATTCGCTATATCACTATGCTAAGAAAACAAGCTTTGTTAGGTATCATTATGGTACGCTAGCAGGCTAATCAACTAGTGCTATGCAAAACTAGTCGCTAAACCAGTTGGTAAAGGGACCAATTCTCACTATTAACTAGTTGCTTATTAGCATGCCTACTGTTTATTAGTACTTATAAAATGTCTCAGGTTACTTATGTAACCATGGTTCCCTGAGTAGGGAACGAGACACTGCGTCCTCTAGGGGTCGCTATGGGGAACGCCTCGTCATGACCACGCAGTTCGAAGTTCCCATGAAAGGTAACACATGTTCTGCATGACCATATTCTACATCCTTAATCATCAATACCTAAACTTAACAACTACCTTACTAACTATTAATAATTAGGGGTTTATTGAGGCAAAAGTCGTAGTTAATGGTTTTTTGGATCTTAAAATAAAGTGTGACCAACCAGTTGTGAGGTAACTGAAAAAAACAGAACAACATTCATAGCTTCCATATGTAATATACAGTCATGGCCAAAAGTTTTGGCAGTGGCATAAATTTTGTGTTGTGCAAAGTTTGCTGCTTAAGCTGTTGTGGTGTTCATTCACATTGTTTCTAGATTTTTGTGTAGAGTGATCAGATGCATTTTAAATAATTGTTAAAAAATGAACTTTTCACACACAAAAAACCCAATTTAACTGTTTTTTTGATCCTGACACAAAATGACCAGCTAGCATTAATTGACTAATCACATCAGCAGCACATGTGAAACAGTGAAGAAGTCTTCAGGATGTCCCAGAGTGTCCAGCAAGCGCCAAGACCGTCTCCTCCTGAGGAGTCAGCTACAGAATCGTGTCAGCAACACTGCAGAGCTTGCTCAGGAACGGCAGCAGGTTGGTGTGAGAGCATCTGCATGCACAGTGAGGCCAAGACTTTTGGACAACAGCCTGGTATCAAGAAGGGCAGCAAAGAAACCACTTATCTCCAAGAAAAACATCAAGGACATACTGAAATTCTGCAGGAAGTACAAGGATTGGACAGCAGAAGCGATTACGGTTTGTAATCGTGCCGCGCCGTACCAGGCTCACGTGGAAATACAACTGGAACCATAAGTTACCTGACAGTTCTTAGAACTGTTCGGCCCGATAGTGGAAAAGCGGCTCATGTGTGGGGTTGCTTTTCAACCAAGGGAGTGGGCTCTCTCATAATTCTGTCCAAAAACACTGCCATGAATAAAGAATGGTATCAAAACGTCCAGCAAGAGCGACTTCTTCCAATGATCCATGAGCAACAAATACTGAAGCAGCAAACTTTGCAAAACAAAAATTGTCACTGCCAAAACTTTTGGCCATGACTGTAGGCTTTAAAAACATTCATTTTCATATTTATACGGTTATTAAAACACATAACAAAAGCGATTTACACTCACTGGCCACTTTACTCATTAACGCAAATATCTATACAGCCAATCACATGACAGCAACTCAATGCATTTAGGCATGTAGACGTGGTCAAGACGATCTGCTAAAGTTCAAACCAAGCATCAGAATGGAGATGAAAGGTGATTTAAGTGACTTTGAATGTGGCATGGTTGTAGACAGTGTTGGGGAAAGTTACTTTTAGAAGTAATGCATTACAATATTGCGTTACTCCCTAAAAAAGTAACTAATTTTCTTGTAAATTAAAAAAGTAATGCGTTACTTTACTAGTTACTTGAAAAAAGTAATCTGATTACGTAACTCGCATTACTTGTAATGAGTTACCCCCAACACTGGTTGTAGATGCCAGATCTGCTGGGATTTTCACACATGTCCATCTCTAGGGTTTATAGAGAATGGACTGAAAAAGAGAAAATATCCAGTGAGCAGCAGTTCTGTGGGTGAAAATACCTTGTTGATGCCAGAGGTCAGAGGAGAATGGCCAGATAGAAAGGCAAGAGTAACTCAAATAAATACTCAATACAACCATGGTGTGTAGAAGAGCATCTCTGAATTCACAACATCTCAAACCTTGAGGCAGATGGGCTACAGCAGCAGAAGACACAACAGGTGCCACTGCTGTCAGCTAAGAACAGGAAACTGAGGCTACAGTTCACACAGGATCACCAAAACACAACAGAAGATTGGAAAAAGGTTGCCTGCGACATTTGGATGGTATAGGGTCAGAATTTGGTGTTCCTCTGGCGACTGTCTGCGGATCCCAGCTGCGAATCTGGCCGCTGTTCAAAATCCTGCCGTGCCACAGAGCGCCACTCACATAGTTTTCCATTAAATGACATTATATCTGTCCCAAATTATTTTTTAATGTAGATAATGACTTCACCCTTGGCTGGAAGATTGTGTATTGCGCATTTTTCAGCGAAGCGTTTGCCTTTCTGTGGCTCTAATAAAGTCTGTGCTTCATATAGGTCTAGACTACAACAGATCGCACGCTCTCATTCAGTTTTTTCTGTTTTTTCGGTCACCGAACTTTAGACTCATTGACACCACTTGCTCATTCTTCAAATTAACTTTTAACTGTTTGGAGCATAGATGAAAGGTTTTGGACTGGCATAGACTGGACGCGACGCGTCCCGTATCCGACTGCCTTTCAGAAATGCGAACAAGAAGACAGTGAAAGGGACTGATATCACCAAAATAAACCAGCTACATTTAGGCCAAATTAAAATCCTCATAACAAATGCATCATCACACAATCGGTCTGTGCACAAAACCAACAAATGTAATGTGTGTTTAATGTACGCCAGCACATCATGACAGCGCTCACAGCAAAACAAATTAGCGATAGATATTTCATGACAAGCATGATTTATATTGGCACAGCAGCCCAGTAAATGTCCTCACGTTATTTGCGGCTTCCATCATGACATGAATAATAGCTAATTCACAAGTTCACACTTAGATATAATAAACAGAGAAAAGGTTATGCATATTTGGCATGCTGTCCGAGGGGAGGGCTCCGAACTCAGAATTTTGGCCTGAACCAAAGTGCGGAGATGGGGTGGTGGAGGGATGCTGGAGGTTAGTCTGCTGTGTCTATATATGCACCTCTTATCTTGTTATTTGGGTTGATTACGGATTGTGCTCCTCTTGTGTTAATTAGGTTAATTATCTAAACGTGCTCCTCCCGAACTTTTTTAATAAATCATAATTTAGTTTATCAGCGTATATATTTTTTTTCCAGAGATCCCCACAGCGGATGGAACATAGCGGAAAGATGTGATTGGTCAGTTTTTCTGTCATTTGAAATTACGCTCCCACTGATTTACTATTGCTTGGCCCTCTGTAGGCATGGCAACACTCCCAGCTAGGCCTGTTGCAATAATCAATATATCGACTTATCGCGCAATATATGTACATGACCGCAATAATTTTTGGTGACGCAATATATCGCCTATTATATTTACTTAAAAATTAATGTCACCATGTTTTGTACATTCCACTTGCGTCTGTGTCTTTTGCAGCTTCTTGTACATAACGTGGTGTAGTCATGAGGTGCTCGTTCAAATAAAAAACATGCTTCTACAATAAAGTTTCATCTGCAGATATGGCCTTGTTTAGGGATCTGTGCCTTTGTGCATAAGGACATCTGACTGCTGAGCAGTGATTGTGTTTTTCAGCAATAGTGTGCACCCTTAATTTACAGAGAAAAGAAGGTCAGGGAAAAATCTGTAGATGGAAAAAATCTCCATAAAAGTTCTTCTTTTTTTCTACTTGTTACTTTGCACTTTTTGTTAGAAAATGTTTATTTACTATTTATTCAGGTTTTTTAAGGTATCTAATATTTTGATGCTTAATTTCCATTATCTAAATATTCTTAAAAATGTAAAGTTTGTTGTCATTTGGAAGTGTGTAGGCCTTCTTGCATTATTATGCTGTTACATTATGATTATATATTCAGTGGCATAAAATGGTCTTTAAAATGACAATAATATCGCTTATCGCAATTATTTCTGGCGCAATATATCGCACAACAAAAAGTTGAGTTGTTATCGTGACAGGCCTACTCCCAGCTCATCTTTCACCTTAAGTAGGTCGAATGTTTTCTTTACAAATCCTTGTTTTGTACTTCTAATTCGTGACTGGCGTTTTGTTTTGCTCTCTCGTTGGACTATCCCTTTAAGGCAGTTTTGAAACCAAAATGGATTTGATATGTATGTGTTGAGAAACAGTCATGGAAGTAAACTCTCTTTAAGTACACTTAAGTAGACTTTTATTTCAGATATATTAATTGCAAGTTAAAAAAATATACTGTATATGTATAAGTAGACTGAAAGTATACTTTCCTATTTTTTAGTTTAAAAGAAGTATACTAATAGCACACTTGAATAAACGTATTTTTTGTAAGGGTAAACACAAGGGATGGTCCAAAGGGTCACTGGATTCTGCAGAGTGAATTGTTCACGATTCTGGAACCAAATTCTAATGATGTAATGATTGTTAGCAGTCAGTTCACACACCTGCGTTGCCTCTTACAGAGAATCTAGACATACGACTGAGTGAAAGCCCTTAATGTTTCCTGTTTATACGCAGTGAAAGGTGGACTCAAGTCTGAAACACTGTTAGATTAGTCATCAAGCCTGTCATCAGAGGAGAGGAGAGCTATATTTGTGCTCTGATTAGTTCTGTTTGAATGATGTGTTGTTTTCATGTTGTATGTGTTACTGATGAGATTTCACTGCCTGTATAGGGTGCTTCTGCGGTTTGGGACTGATCTACTCCAATAAGACCTGCACTATGGCATCCGTCGCCTTTCAGGACCTTCCTCTCAATATCTATATGGTGATCTTCGGCACAGGCATCTTCGTCTTCGTACTCAGCCTCATATTCTGCTGCTATTTTATAAGGTGAGTCTGATCTCACGCACACACATGATGTAATGATTGTTAGCAGTCAGTTCACACACCTGTGTTTCCTCTTACAGAGAATCTAGACATACGACTGAGTGAAAGCCCTTAATGTTTCCTGTTTATACACAGTGAAAGGTGGACTCAAGTCTGAAACACTGTTAGATTAGTCATCAAGCCTGTCATCAGAGGAGAGGAGAGCTATATTTGTGCTCTGATTAGTTCTGTTTGAATGATGTGTTGTTTTCATGTTGTATGTGTTACTGATGAGATTTCACTGCCTGTATAGGGTGCTTCTGCGGTTTGGGACTGATCTACTCCAATAAGACCTGCACTATGGCATCCGTCGCCTTTCAGGACCTTCCTCTCAATATCTATATGGTGATCTTCGGCACAGGCATCTTCGTCTTCGTACTCAGCCTCATATTCTGCTGCTATTTTATAAGGTGAGTCTGATCTCACGCACACACATGACACACAGGTGTTGACCTGCACACGAGCATATGTATCGTATGTGATCATTGATTAGCTGTAGACGGGCCGGCGGTGAAAGTCAACAGGAAATTGCTGTGTTGCTGATGGTACACACGCAGACGTCAGCAGGACGCTTCATGTCACCAACACTGGTATTAATGGAACTATTGTATTACAGGCCAATACAAACCACCTCAAATATCCCACCCTTTTCTTGTCTTTTCTTTTTCTTTCTTTCTTTCTTTCTTTCTTTCTTTCTTCCCTGTCTTTTTCTTTTCTTTCCTTATCTGTACTTTTTTCTTTTTTTCCCTTTCATTTTATACTTATTTCTCTTTTCTTTTCTTTTTTCTTTTCTTTTCCTTTCTTTCTTTCTTTCTTTCTTTCTTTCTTTCTTTCTTCCCTGTCTTTTTCTTTTCTTTCCTTATCTATACTTTTTTCTTTTTTCCCCTTTCATTTTATACTTATTTCTCTTTTCTTTTTTCTTTTCCTTTCTTTCTTTCTTTCTTTCTTTCTTTCTTTCTTTCTTTCTTCCCTGTCTTTTTCGTTTCTTTCCTTATCTATACGTTTTTCTTTCTTTCTTTCTTTCTTTCTTTCTTTCTTTCTTTCTTTCTTTCTTCCTTCTTTCCTTTTCTCCTTGTCCATCTATTTCTTCTTTCCTAATCTATCCAACCTTCTTTTCTTTTCTTTTCTTTTCTTTTCTTTTCTTTTCTTTCTCCTTGTCGATTTCTTTTCTATCTGTTTCTTAACTTTCCTCATATATCCTGCTTTCTTTTCTTTTCTCTTTTTCCTGTCTTTGATCTATGTCTTTTGTTGTAAACAATCGCGAAATGAAGTACAGTATATAAATGGCAAAGCACAGATAGAAGACTTCTATATAGTTATTTCAGATTTCTCTCTTAGCTCTTGACTATTGGACAGCATGTAAATCATGTCAAATGCATATGAA